AGTGGTTGTTTCATAAGCATTCAAGAAGATTTTTTAAATTCAAAAAGAGATGTTACAGTTTAAGTAATGAATCGGAAGATCACAAATATTCAAAATATGGAGGTTATAAATCATTTAAAAATTCATTCACTAGCTAGGTGTTTCAAAATTCAAATTCAAAATTTGGAGTTAGATGAGCCTCATTCATGGTGAAAATTAATATAATTTCAATTTCATTTTTGTAATTTGAATTTCAAATCTAATCTCTTGTATAATAAATAGTGGGAGAATTGAATGAAAAAGGAATGATTTCCTTGACCCATAAAATTGTGTTTTTTTGCTTGCAAGCTTGATAATTTAGAATTGGTTTGCGAATCAACTAATGCTTGTTTAGCAAACCAATCAAAGATTACTTTGCAAAGTTAATCATATATCTTTTCACTTATTATTCTTATCCGCTCCACCTTTTTAAGGTCTTAAATCACTTTAAAACCTCAGAAATTTGAGTTAAACAACCTTATAAACTATAACAACTATTGTCCACTGGTTGTGACCCTCCAACATAAAAAAAAGTTATAATTTCCAGCACACATCCAATTAGCCTAAAATGATATCTAGTTCACTAACATCCAATAGTTCAAATTGGAGGTCGTCACCATTCCTAAACAATGCAAACTGATCGAAACACAAAAATGAAGTTTGGGTCCTAAATTTGTGCACTAAACTTGAACTATTCATGATTTTCTTAGCCTACAATGGCCCATAACCTATCAGCCACTTCCACCAACCCTAGAAACCTCTTAATCACCACTTCATCAATAAGCCACTAAGGAGTATCGGTATTCCGTGTTACAATACCACATTTAGTTCACAATAGTGATATTGGTTTATATGTTGATTATACAATAAAAACAACAACAACATCAAGCCTTTGTCCCACTATGTGGGGTCGGCGACATGAATCATTTTTCTCCATTATGTCCGGTTAAAAGTAAAATTCTTGTTTAAATCTAATAAAGAAATATCATTTCTAATATTTTATAACCAAGTATTTTTAGTGGTGTGTCTATCAAGTTACTTATATGATTTAGCATAAAAAATCCTATTTTATTGAACTATATATTGAATAGTAGTCCAAATGAGAGATATCATTAAAATTTATTTATGTGGACTAAATTGTTTTATGAGTGAGACCAAACTTATCTCATGATATGGTGGTCTAAAAGGTCAATTGATTGTGGATTGGTTAGTGTAGTTCAATTGGAAACACTAATTATTTTGATGGAAAATATTATGGATTTTTATATAAAAAGAAGATTAGGTCATACTTTTTCTCTATTAGAACTGTTTCATCTTTCCCCTATCTTGAGAGACAACCCATGATACGAACAAACCAAAGGAAGATAGATGAAAAAGAGGAATTTCTTAGTGTGCTGCATTTGCAGTAATATGAGTATACAAATTTCTCTATTTCTTCTACTAATTAATCATCGATTAAAAAAATATTCTTTGTTAGTATTCTAATTTTTTAATATGATCTTGAAGTTTTTCTAGTAAATTGGTGTGAGCTCAGCCGATATTCATCATGCCATGGTCTCTATAAGAATTGTTGGAGGTTTCTTGTGTAGAAGATGTTGGGTGCAAAAGATTGCAAAATGTAGTCAAGTTCAATGGGCTCTATATACCAAAAGTGGTCAACCAATATTCTCTAATATCAAGCCATTGTCACTTGGCTTGGTGTTATTGCTTGATTGATCATTGTGGCTCCACATTCTTCGACGTTAATGCCTTGGAGTTCCCAGGCATTAGGCTCTTCTGTTCCCAGGCGATGCTTATCTGGGATCACCAGTCACCACTTAGAAAGATCAAATAGTGGACATAAGATCACTTGCATACTACATGATCAATTTTAACTTCAGGTTAACACCTGAATCCCATCAGATGGTGCTTGATGCACCTTAGAATTGGGCCAAATCTATGACCCATAGTTCTCTTCATATATCTTTTTCTGCCATTCCTTGTTTCCCTAATATAAATCTTATTATACAATAGAAGTATATTGGATCTTATCTTAATAATAGAAATGGTGCATACATCTATATTCATTCAAGTGTTCTGCTTTTTATGTTAATTGTACACATCTAAAAGCTCAGGCCTTATTATTATTATTAAGGCACAGTATTAACATTGGTTGTTGACTGCAACTAAGGCTTATGCATCTAGAACTCCTATTATAGCAAGAAGTGTTACAGATATATAGCTAATTGGGTTTTGAAGATGCTTTAATGTCTGATTGCCTGGTAATGGTAAGGGTTTATTTAGCGCAGTTATAACTACTGTAGAAGTGGTAGTAAAATTACAGTAAGAAAAGCAATTTTTTTTCAAAATTATTACGGATATTAAAATGTTTTTGAAAAAAAAAATGGATAATAACTTTTTTATGGTTACGAAAGTTGAGGTATTGGATTTGACTTATGTTAAGAAAGGTAGAGGTAGAACTAAAAAGATTTGGTTAAAAAATATTAGAAATGATCTTTCTTTATTAGATTTAAGTGAGAATTTGACTTTTAACAGGACAGTGGCGAAAAAGGATTCATGTAGCCGACCCCATGTAGTGGGACAAAGACTTGATGTTGTTGTTGTACTCTCCCGGATATGATTGTAAAAGATAGTATTTACGTATAAAAATTTCTGAAAAATAATAAGAAAATTATAACCAAATGTAATTTTGATAACTTTCTAAAAATCAAAGCTTAAAAAAAGCTTCCCAAAAGGATCCTAGATTTGGTACCATATGGTACAAAGGCGGAGGTAGAGGTTTTAACTCTAGTTGTCTGCATTTTGGGTTTCTTGCATGGTGAATGTGAATTTGTGTGGAATCTTTTTATATTTTGAGATGTAAAAGTAAATTAAGAAGATTTTGATAGACTGCATGTGCATCTGACTACTTAAGTAACACACCTGGGCATAGTATTACATACTTCATATTCGCATGAAATTTATTTTTTTATGTCTTCATAATCTTTACATGTGTTTCACGTAATTGCATTGTTAAATATGCATTTTCTTACAAAACTTGAATCATATTTGCCAACATGGTTTATATTATTTTCTAGGTTATGTCAACTGCTAGTGACGCTAATACTATAAACTCACTAAAAATTAATCAAGCTTTGCGTTGTACTCTTCACCAATGAAACTTTTTGAATATCTTTCTAGAATGAGCGGTTCCATTAAAATATGTTGATACATGCTAATTCTTTCTTTTTGCTTCTAATTGATGTGGAGGTTGGCAAGTGCTGTTGAGGATTATTGGAGGGCCATTGGAAGGTTTGAATCAGTGGAAGGTTAAGATAGTGTTTTGCTTTAGGGTATTTAGATAGGTTTTTGGCTGAGATTATATGGTAGTGGATGGTTGGTAGCACACCAGCACCTAGTGGGCACAAGGTTGGAAGATATAACAAGTTTATTTTTTATTGAAGCCTTGCGGCATAAATATTACAAGTGCTGGAAAAAAGGATGTAAATATAGTTGGAATTGCTTCAAAATTCTCTCCATGACAACTTTTTCCGAACACATGCATGTTTTAGTTATGTGGAATTTGATTGTGTTGATCAATCGGGTTGTATTGTTACCTCGAACCTCAATTCAGTTTGTCGAGCTCGTCGGAGGGTTGTAGGGGTCCTCGCCCTGCTTGGGTACGGGTGTTTTGCTTTCAGAAAATTTTTTTATCATACAACAGTATAGTGCTGTGGCGCTACCAAGGAGCGATGTGACGCTCCAGATCCGACGCGGCAGAGTTGTCAGGTAGACATGAGACAGAGAGTTGAGCACCGCGACGCTGTGAGACAGGCTGACAATTTCTTTCTTGTTTTTCTTTAAGGGTTGCATTCCTCGATGGTTTTCTATGGTATCTCTTTGTTTGTTCTATAGTGAATGATGCAAGAGTGAACAAAGATAATGAGAGAGTGCGAGAGAAGAGAGATCTGTACTATTTTTCCTAATTTTTATAGAGGGTTTGTTGGTGTGGTGAGCTCCGCGGTTTTTTTCTCGGTTTTTGGATTTTCCATGTTAAATCCTGGCGTTCTTTCTTTCCAATGCATTTTCTCTTTCTTGTTTGCATTTGCTGTGTTTCACCTCCCCCAACAACATGTCCTTGCATTATAATCCTTCTACTTATATGATTGGTCTCTTAAACCACTCCAAGTGAAAGATACAATGTAATATTTGATTGTTCTCAATTTGTTCAAATTTAAAATCTTCAAAAAGAAAATTAAATTACATTCAAAACCCTCCCTCCTAAACATATGTTTTGGCCATATTTGATTGGAGAATGTTTGTGGCTGATTTTTTCTTTCTTTTCAACCTAAATTTATAGTGCCATTCCTAGGGTAATTTTAGAGGATCCCAATCCATCTTACAGAAGAAAAATTCAGGAAAACAAGCGCAACAAAAATTGTCTTCCAATAGTCAAAACTAAGCTAATAAATCGATCAAACATTTTATATTTGGCATGTGCAGTTTGAGTTTTAGTTCCATCTTTAGCTGAAAAACAAATTCAAAAGATCTAACCCCGGGTTTTCGCTTACGTGAGTGGGACAAAATTTAATCTCATAGGGGTTTCGATCAACTTTGAGTTCAGCCGTAGTAGAATATTTTCAGAACTTCATGAAACCAAGGGTATGTGAATCAAGGACATGTTATCATTATCTATGGGATTCTGAGGGTTTCCTTCCAGATCCTTAACTTCTTACCATCTTCAGCTTCATTCTGTGGAATTTGATTATTTATTGTAACACTTAGGCTTCGTTTGGAATGGCTTTTTTACTGCTTCTTAAAACAATTTTCTAGTAAAATAAGTATAACTTTTATACTCGATAACTATTTTAAGAAGCAGTAAGAAAACCGTCCCAAACGAAGCCTCGGTGTTCAAAGCCGATTACATCTACGCTACGTCAAATCCAGTCCTATTCCCTCTTACAAAACTGCTTTAACTAATAGCTTTTCAATAATCTCTGCAGCTGAAGTAGTAACAGCTTGCTCCTGGAACGAGCTGGTCCTCAGCAGTGACGTGCCTGTTGTTGTGGAGTTCTGGACTTCATGGTGTGGACCCTGCAAGATGGTGAGCCGTCTCATGAACGAACTGGCAAATGATTACTCAGGGAGAATCCGATGCTTCAGGATCAACGCTGATGATTATCCTCAAGTTGCAGCCTCTAATGGCGTCGAGCGAATTCCAACTATTTTGGTGTTCAAGGACGCTGAGAAGCTTGAGAGGATTACAGGCACTTTGCCAAAATCTGTTTATGTTGCAGCTATCCAGAAATCACTTTCGGAATAGGAAGAATTCAGTTTTTTTTTTTGCTTAATCCAGAGAAGAATCTATGCTTTCACAAGCCATTGTGATTGCATTTTTTTCTTTTTATTTTTGCTTAATCTCCCGATCAGTTTCTTCTGAACTCGGACTGGTTGATCTGGTATATAGTTTGTTGTATATATATAAACAAGCCAATAAATTTATTCAGTGCGAGAAAATGTATGATGATAGAGTGTTTAATATTCTAATTTTGGGTAAAAATTCAGTAGTCACAGATAAAATTAGTAAGAGTTTATAATTTCTTATGGGAAAAACTTGAGATGGAAAAACAACAGCAGCAAGCCTTTATCCCACTACATGGGGTCGATTGCATGAATCATTTTTCTCTATTGTGTCATATTAAAAGTCAAATTCTCGTTTAAATCTAATAAAGAAAGGTCATTCATAATATTTTCTAACCAAGTCTTTTTAGGTTTACCCCTACTTTTTTTACACAAGTCAAATCTAATACCTCTACTCTTCAAACCGGGTCATCAGAAGGCCGCCTTTTTAATTGAAAAAGATAAGATTATATAATTATTTGACTCTTATTATAGGGGTTATAAAAGTTAGGTGTACACAAGTTGAAAATTGAAGTCTAATGATTTGGTGAGATGTTAGTTAGTTGTTAGGCGTCAATTGTCAAATAATAGAAGTCAGTCGATTGTGGTGATAAGATATGATGGTGGTTGATCTTGATCGTATAAAAAATGAGGTTCTATTTATAACATTTTTTTAGAATAATGTTTAGTAAATTTGGTTAGAATCCAAAAGTTCCGTGGAATAACTCATTTTGATATCTTTGGTCATATATCATTTATTAAGCATTTTAATATCTTAATTTTTTCATAATTGAATGATAGTAGGCTCGTTTGATTTGTTTTGTCAATCTATGTAATTTGATAATAGGCATGCAAGATTTGAAGATTGTCATCTAATTAATATGTTGAAGTTCTCAAATATACTTTAAATGCTTGGTTTGGGTTAATTTGGACTTAGATTGACTCACATGTGGTGTCGGCAGATACATTTTGTCAAGACATTTCATTTGATTATAAAATTGTTGAAATATGAGTTCAATATTGGAAGATATTGCCTCAAAAATTATGTTAATTATGTGAATTTTCTTAAAATGTATAATTTATCTCTTCTTTTTGGATGTTAAAGCATGTGTAGTCCAAAAATATATGTTAAATTTTCAAAAATTTCACGAATCGAAATTATAAAATTTTGAAAAAAATATAAGTGAGTGCTAAGTAGACATCAACGTGGACATCTTCTTGGAGTTTTGAACTAATTAAAATATCCTTAATTATAATTTCACATTTTCATAAAGCAGACACATCAATTGAAATAAATTTTTTAAAAAAAATTTGCTCCTCTCATGATAGGCTCCAATTTTTCATTTTAAGAGAGCTGTCTTGTATAAGCGGTGCGTAATTCCCTCTTTGTAGGCTCCAATTAAAAAACTATCAAGAATAAGCGATGTGCATCCCCCTTACATGCTTTAGTGCTTATCCACCAAAACTAACAATTATTTTTTAGAGTTTTAGAAAAAAAATTAGACATCTCAATTTCTCCTTTGTAGGTTTTGATTGTTGTCTTTTAAACGAAGCTTGATAGTGTCTTTTATAGGCAAATTATTCTCCTTTACAAACTCTATTTTTCTCTATTAGAAGTATCAAACCACCATACAATAGAGTTGTTAGTGGCTCGCAAGGCTTCTTATTATCACGGCAAAGTTTTGGTCTTCCTCTTTTATTGTATTGTCAAAATTTAATACAATTGTGATGATTCAATGATTAGGTTGAAATGAGTATTCTAATTTATGGAGTTTGAATTTAAACTTGATATGAACATTTAGTATTAATATTGGTGATACCATTTACCAAGTATATGCATTCGTGTTGAAGCCATTGAAATCATTTGAAATAAACTAAAGATGAGATAAAATTTGCATCCTTAAGTGGGAAGAGAGCGCTTATTGGAAGTTGGTGAAGGAGTTTGGAGATTTATTATGGGGGGGGGGCAATTGCAAGAACATGAAACAAATATACATAATTGATATTCTTAATCAAATCCTAGAGATTTTTTGTGCACTAATTAACTCACTTTCAAAAGGTATTTTTTAAATAAAGTTATTGCATAGAAAACTGAGCCTGCATTACTTCCTATTGTCATAGCAATTAAAAAATAGAAAATATAGATACATTGGGAGAAGATAAAGCAAAAAATGCAATGTTTGGTTGAGATGAATTAAGCAATGACAAGTAGGGGCAAAAAAGCTTTTTAAGGGGGCAAAATTGAATTTTTAAGAGGGGCAAAATGGATTTTTTACTCTCCTTTAAGTTAAAATTTTTTTTTTGAGGTCAAAGTGGATCTCTTCTTGGAGTCTTAAACTAATTAAAATATCCTTAATTATAATTTCACATTTTCATAAAGTAGGCACATCAATTGAAAAAAAAAATATTGTTCCTCTCAATATAGGCTCCAATTTTTTATTTTAAGATAGATATCATGTATAAGCGGTACGTAATTCCCTCTTTATAAGCTCGAATTAAAACTATCATGAACAAGTGGTGTGTATCCCCCTTATATGCTTTAGTGCTTATCCACCAAGACTAACGAATTATTCTTTGGAGTTTTAGAAAAAAAATTAGATATCTCAATTTCCCTTTTGTAGGTTTTGATTTCTATCTTTTAAAAGAAGCTTGATACTGTCTTTTATAGGCAAATTATTCTCCTTTACGAACTCTAGTTTTCTCTATTAGAAGTGTCAAACCACCATACAACTAGAGTTGCTAGTGACTCCCAATACTTATTATTTTTATGGCGGAGCTTCAGTCTTCCTCTTTATGTTTTTTATCTCTATTTCAGGAGATAGTGATCCTAAAAAATTTTCAATCCATTTTTAAGCTCTAATTTTCTCTCAATGAGGAGATAATTATTGTTAAAAATAGATACAATAGTGATATGATGCAATGATGATGTTGAAAGGAGTGTTCTAATTTGTGGAGTTTGAATTTAAGCTTGATATGAACATTTAGTATTAATACTAGTGATACCAAGTACCACTGTTGGTGTTGAAGCCATTGAAATCATTTGAGATATACTAAAGATGAGATAAAATTTGGATCCTTAAGTGAGAAGAGAGGCTTATTGGAAGTTGGTGGAGGAGTTTGGAGATTTATTATGCATTAACATTATGTAAGTTCTATAGTACTATTATATGTAGGTTTGAAATGTATATTTCTTCATGTACAAACTTAACTAATATTTGCAATCAATTTATTGGAAGTGATGAATTCTCCAGCTTCATATAAGAGTTATTCATATTTATAAAAACTCCCCTCTGCCCAAGAGGAAACCAAGTCCTTTGTACATCTTTAAGATGTTATTTAAAATCTTCAAGGACAAGAAGGTATTGTTGCCAGCTTCTCAGGCTTTAGCCTTCTAAGAGTTTTCAAAATTCAAAGAAATATGTCTTCCGATGCTTTTGGCCTACCACATTTGTTCGAGAATCAAAGAAATTTATACCTTTTGAGGCTTATCTTTTTTATGAGAATTTTTTTAGAACTGGTAAAATTTGTTCCATATGAGGTTTTTAGTTTTTTGAAATTTTTGGAGAACAAAAAAAATAAATATCTTCATAGATTTTTAGCACTTTAAAATTTTTTTGTATATCTATATCTTCTAAGACTCCTATCTTTAAGATTTTTATATGATTATAAACTTTTGAAACATACCTTTTGAGATTTTTGCTGTATCTTTACCTTCTAAGGCTTATGATTTTGAGATTTTTTGATATGATTGTATCATTTGAGGCTTATACTTTCTAAGATTTTTGGATGATTATACGCCTTCTGAGATTTTTGGATGAGTTGAACACTTACAACTACTTGCACTTATGGAGTTTATCTAGTGATGTATTTGTCCATTATGATTTTTTCCATCGATGTTACCTCATGGGTGCATCTTTCAGGTTTGCTTTTCACACACCCTCATAAGATCTTTTTAGTGAAGATTGTGTTCAATATTAGCTTTCCATCAAGGCTGTCTCATTAGTGTGCCTTGTAGGGATTTTTATTATATTTAATATTAATTATAAAAAAAACACTTCATTAACAAATTAAATAAAAACATACTTGAAAGATAAGTTTTTATTTCCAATGGAAGTCAAGATATAACCTTTTTTAGAAATTCTGAGTAATTCAACTTCTTTGAGTTAATTTAGTGATGGAATCATCTAGTGTGATGACACACATATTTAATATTTTCAATACTTTTTACCACGACTCTTCTGAGCTCTTTTATTTTGAGGTTGACAATTTAATTGTTGTTCTTATAAATAATGACCCAAATTTCATTGGTGAATCAAATGTTCAATCTCTTCCTTAAATTAAAAAAAATAAAAAAATTTTTATTGAACATCCTCATGAAAGATAGAAGTGAAAATATTGAGATTCAACTCTAGAATTTTTTTTCTATACATGTTTTTGCCATTTGAGGTGTTCAGAATTTTAGATCATCATCCGGATGTTAATCCTAAATATATTTAATGAAGAGTAATTGAGTGATCCAAGCCAACTTTGATGAGAAGGGTGTCTCTATTTTCTCGATTGCTTAAGCTTTTTTCATTGAGTTGGTAGATCTATTTTTATTGTTGTGAATTCTTAAGTTTGCTTGATGACTATTCATATTATTTTTTATGAGCATTGATGACCTCGTCAGTCATTATTTATACTTCAACTCAATGAATAAGATGAAAACCTCCTTATAGTAACTTCAGATTCACTATCAGAATTTGTCATGTTTCGAATTCACTTTATTATTTTGGCAAATCCCAATGGGACGGGAGAAAATTTGTATGATCTTTTGATTGATAATAAATTATTTAAGGAAAAGCTTTAGTTACGATAACAATCTTTTATCCCACTACGTGAACTCGACTACATGTGTAGCACCCCACTATACTCCTTATGTATCGTAGAGTGTCATTGATATAAAAATAATATATATATTACATCTAATACTTTTGATCATTGAATACTTAAGTATTTTTCATCCAATGAACAATATATTTTTTGAATAAATGGAAGTATTCAAATCTAAATAATCTCAATTTCATCACAAAAATAATTAGAACATTGAACATTCTACATACCTCAGCTATAGACTCACATGTATAGTTAAACAATAGAATATTAAG